GCGAGGAGCCTGCAAAAGGTGGGACCGCCAGTGCTGCTCCCTGAGGTAGAGCTCAAAGTTGAGCTCGTTCCTCAGGGCAGGCTCTCTTGTTGCAAGAACAAGATGATCGAGGCGTCGTTAACAGTCTTGTTGCCGGGCTCATTTTGGGGCTAGATGAGCTCGTCGCTTGGAATAGACGCGCGACCCTTCCGCCGTGGCTGGAAAGGTCGCAGTCAGCCTCAAGCGCGTCTCCCCGGTCGTCTCCCAACAGCGGGGACCTGTCGACGAAGACTTCGACTGTAACGACCCGGTCTTGAACCAGTCCGCCGCACATCCTCAAGCCGCCACCGCTCCTCAAGCCGCCAGCCCTAGGGCCGTAGGCCGAGACGAGAACACCCACGCTACGGATACAGACTTGGCCAAGAAGTTATGGCACATGGTCGAGCTCGATCCCAGTACGCCACTTGATCAATCGGCCGATGGCGTCAACAGGTCTCGGGCTCTAACGGTCCGGTACCTTCCGTCGGGGCGCCGATACTGCACTGGAGGCTGTGTTTCATGGACCCCCAGGGGCGATTTTCATGGACCCCCAGGGGCGATGCACACATCCTCTACTTACTCACTTAGACACTCGATTTTGCTCGCTCACTTGTACTCATCGTAGGTACTTGGACTCGCTATCTCCTTCGTTCCACATTTGTTTGCATCAACTCAGTCTGCCGTGTATCGCCTCGCATCCGCGCCCCATCGCAACCATCGCAGGCTCCAAAGGTACGCCCCGTCGGCAGGTGGCCCACGCGTCGTCATGGTTGGCGGGAGACATTGTCGTCGCGGCCCGGCTGACGGAATCCTGGCAGCTGACAGCAACGATCCCGCACCATTCCAGTTACGAATCATTGTTGGCTCGGGTTCGGCGGAAGTCGTATCAGTGCAGCGTGTCCCGTCTGAGCACGTCTGCAATGGTCTGCAGTGTGCTCGTGGCGTCCATATACGGCAAAGCCATTGATAGAAGTCTGACGTTCCACTGTGGTCCTGGTCCCTTCTTTTTTGCCTGGTCTGATCGGCGAGCGGTACGGAACGTCAAGCCAGTCGATCTTTAAGTTCAGCCGCACCAGCGTCTGCATGAGATCGTGTCGAGGTTCGAAGATGGCGGTTTTGATCTTCCGGTCCATGTCTTTCTCGAACACGCCGACGCGCTCGACAAGCATGGGTTCCTGACTTGCACCCAACGGCGCAAGCACGATCCCACGCAGCCGACATTCAAAAGGTGCACAATAGCCTCTGGGAGGTACAATTGCCTCCCATCGAGAGCCTGAGCATGAGCCTCCTTTGTCGTCGACAGCGGGCGACATTCGCTGGCGAACCGTTAAAAATCCCGAGGGAACGCCAGTGTCGGTTTCTTCCTCGGCTCCGGCTGCGGTGTGAGCGGGTC